TCTTGAAGACCCAGTTTTCTAGAAAACCAGTTTTTCAGAAACTTTAAAAAATAACCAAAACATTTTTAAATAAGATATAATTGTAGCGCGAACATTTCTGATTAAAATGAGACATTCCCCAGCTCTATACGAGGGCTGTTAGAATACACAAAAAATGTGTAAAGTACTTTTCTCTACGAAGATGCGTCAGCAATCTTTTTCCTAGCACTCCTTCCACTTCTCTACTCTCTTTTCTACTTTTCATACTTTTCAAACTTTTCATACTATACCACTTTTCATACTTTTCATCGCTTTCATCCTTTTCAAACTATTCTACTTTTCATAGTTTTCATCCGTTTCACCGCTTTCATACTTTTCATCTCTTTCATCGTTTTCATCTCTTTCATACTTTTCATCTCTTCCAAACTTTTCATACATTTCATCTCTTTCATCGTTTTCATCGCTTTCATCGTTTTCATACTTTTCATGGCTTTCATACTTTTCATCTCCTTCATACTTTCATACATTTAATCTCGTTCATCGCTTTCATCGTTTTCTTCGTTATCATACTTTTCATGGCTTTCACACTTTTCATCTCTTTCATACTTTTCATACATTTCATCGCTTTCATCGCTTTCATCGCTTTCATCGTTTTCACCTCTTTCAAACTTTTCATACATTTCATCTCGTCCACCGCTTTCATCGTTTTCTTCGCTTTCATCGTTTTCATCGCTTTCATCGTTTTCATACTTTTCATGGCTTTCATACTTCTCATACATTTCATCTCGTTCGTCGCTTTCATCGTTCTCATCGTTTTCATAGTTTTCATGGCTTTCATACTTTTCATCTCTTTCATACTTTTCATACATTTCATCGCTTTCATCGCTTTCATCGTTTTGCATTGTAACCACAAATGGATTGTTCTAGTTCAATGAAAAAAACTGAGAGACTTGACGATTTCGCAACTGTTCGAGGAAGATCATTCCATTCTTTTTACTGTTTGTACGTAAAATGATTCAGCTA